CATACCCATACCCTTACACAAACACGTACACATATATAGCACTGACAGACAGACGATGGATGCCAGACGTATTCAAAATAATTCCAACCCAGGACCGTCCAGGCCGACGGGGGCGGGCAGGGGATGATAGGCAGGATGACAACTTAGGATTCCCGTGGGTGCAGAGAAACAAACCGGCAAAAGCGAGAGAAGGGGGGGAGGGCAGGGAGAGCTTGAGCCGCGTGCCAGTGGATTGCACGCGAGGGGGCAAGGGCGGCCTCCGGACGTCATCCCTTACGTGCTAACCGATATCAAATCAGACCAGCACTGACAGACAGACGATGGATGCCAGACGTATTTATGAGAATTCGACCGCAGGCGACATCTGCCATCCAACCCAGGACCGTCCAGGCCGACCGGGGCGGGCAGGGGATGATAGGCACGATGGCAACTTAGGATTCCCGATACCCGCAGGACAGACTGGGCCGCAGGCCGAACACACAAAGATTCAAAGCAAAATGAAACCCAGCGGAAAGACACCCCAGGACCCAACACAAAAAATATCAAAAAGGGTCGAGTCCCGTGGCGAGGTTCCACAAACGACTGAGACTCCGACGCTGAGAGCCATCGACGATGAGACGGGCAATGGCTTCAGCGAGCCAGGGGGGACACGCGGCGGCTAGGGCAGCCCAGTGCACGCCGCCCGGCGCTCTGCCGGACAGCACAATGTGCGGCTTGCCGGTGCGAGAGCACACGCCCCCCGGGCATTTGCATTTCTTGCAGAGGGGGAGGAGGGAAGGAGTGAGCCAGGCAGAGATACGAGTGGCTTTCTGCCACCGGGTACCGAAAAGGCACATGTGAAAGTTTGCTTGCTGATGCTCCGACATTTTACAGAGCTGGACCATACGGGGTGCCGACCACATTAGGGAGGAGGCCGGGTTCTCTATGAGAACAGGGACACCACAGCGAACGCATAAATCAAATATTCTGCAACTGAACAAGAAACTGGCATTTCCTGTAGCAAGACGGGCTTGTTCTGCTACGGACAATTCAGACGAGGGGATTCCCATGGGGCACTCACGAGAGCTAAGGGCATGCCTGAGCGCACGACTCCAGGAAGTGCACGGCGTGCCGAGAAACACGGCAAAGACGCAGCCCCCAGAAATCCACCCTCGGAACAGTTTTTCAAACGCGTTGTTAAGGCGATCCTCACCCGCCGAGTTTTTGAAATCAAGATCGGCAGCCAGGAAACCAAGGGCCCTGATGGCTTTTGAAACACCGCGGGACCCAGCAAAAAGCATGAGGAAAACTCTAGAGTGCTTCTGAGTGTGTGACCCCGACCCTCTGAGAGCGCGCGTAAGCCTACGCTGCAGGTGAGTGCGCAACTCGGAGGTGGAGGGGGCGGTCAGAGGCGGCACCCGGCGATCTGGCCGGCGGGCCTTCAGCGACCCCTGAGGCGCCTGGCGCCCAGGATCGCCGCCTTGCAGGTCGTCGGCACGAGGTGCCCGACGCCTGACGCCTCGGTCCCGCCCGCGAGGCACGCGGCCCAGAAGTGGTCCATCATCAGGTGGCCCAGCCGGAACACGTCCGCGTGGATGGTGCTCAGCTCGGCCAAGAGCTTGGTCTCCTTCCCGTACCGCTTGAGGCTCTTGGGGGGCGCCCAGCGACCTCGCATCTGCACTTGCAGACCCTCGCGTCGCCGAGCAAGAAGGTCGTCTGAAGCCCCCCCGCGCCGGAGGCAATACGGGTGGTCCGAGACCTGGGGGGGGCCCAAAAGAGCCAGGCACATGGAGTACTTGTGCCGCAAGGCCGCGGCCGTGAACGGCCACAGGGAGGCCTCTGCTGTCGTCGATGAACGAAGGTATGCCAGCCCCGGCTCGAGCCACGGGTCGAGGTCGATCAGGGCGCTCTCGTCGTGGACCCCCGTCTTGCCCGCCACGAAAGAGGCCGCGTCGTGAAGAAGGAGGCCCCAGTGGCGGTGCGGTGCCCCCGCAGCAGGGGGCGGGGGCACGATGTTCTTGCCCTTCAGCTTGAAGGCCCCCCCGGGCCTGAGGTACGCCACGAAGGTGATCGCGACCCAGAGCGCCATCAGCGGCTGCCCGGCCTCCGCGAGAAGCAGGCGCGCGGCCGAGGCCACGGCCTTCGGCATGGGCAGCCGGGCGCCTGCTGGAACGCGGCGCTTCCAGGCGATAGACGCCCGCGTCGCCCTCGGCCACCGACTCTTCCACGAGCCGCGCAGCGACGGGTAGAAGTGGGCGAGGCTCGCCAGCAGCTGCGAGCCCTGGTCCGACGAGCTGTCCTCTATGAAGCACTGGTTCATGCACGCCGCAATGGCCTGGTCCATCTCGGACGTCGATGCCCAGCCCAGGCGGCGCGCCATGCAAAAAGTGAGAAAGGCCATCGCCACTTTCTTGTAGAGGACCTCCGTCGACGGGCGGATCGCCAGCTGCCCCGGGGCAGCGAGCGAGCCCGCCGGCTGCCGCTCGGAGACCATGCGCTGCGCAGCCGCGGCCCGGGTCTCCGTGATCGCCCGAGCACGGGCTGCCTTGCGCTTGGCCGTCGCCGCCGGCATGCCGAGCACCCCCCCGAGGCGGCCGCGCCGCTGGGAGGGGCGAAGGGCCCGCAGGCCGCCGCGCGGCCCGGGCTCCTGAAAACCAGTCAAGACGACCACGAGAAAGAGGTCCCGAAGGATTACGCTCACTAGGAACCCATCGAACATGGAGACGGCATCCCGAAGCCAAGGACAGGGCAGACAGCTTCAACATGACGGCCTGGAGGTGGGGCGACTTGGCCCTCCCCTTGCACGACGCGAGGGCCGGGCGCATATTATCGACGACGATCACCGCACGCCGCCCAACAGCGGCAGCCGAGCGCAGCAAGTGTTTGTAGGCCAAGACGAGAGCTTCACCTTCCAGTTGTAGAATATCAGCAGCATGCAAAACTTTAACAGCCATAACGTCTTCCCAATCTGAGAACGTCATATACTCAGCCGGGACCTCCTCGAACAGCAAGGGATCCACGCACATGGAACCACCGTCGGGGGCAGGGGGCGGGGCGGCGGCAGCCTCGTCCAGGAGCGACTCGGCGAAGTACGACCCCACGACGCCTTCCCGAAGAGCATTGGCCCGAGCCTTTTCGGCCCCGTCGACGCGACGCCTCGCGCGCTCACTAACCCGCCCCAATTCAGCTACGCGATCTTGCCCCAGTGACCGATGACAAACTCCGAGCCCGAACTCCGACGCGTCCGAAGCACAGGTGACAGGATGCCACGCAGCGCGCAAATCGGTAGAGAGGAGGGGGAGGACAGCGATGAGCCTACGAAGCTCCAGTGATACATGGGGCCAGAGGGGGGTCACAACACTCTGGGTAGATTCAATGAACGCGTAACAGCGGTTAAGAATAGACAGGGCTTCACGACGGACCATAGAGGTCCAAGTGACACGCACAACTAAAACACGAAGGAGGTGTCCACTAGCCGAGCCACGGGACAGCACACGCTCCAGAGCGAAGCGGCGGCGCCAGATATTCCGAGCCTTAACCGACAGCCAGCGGCTGGCGACGAGGGAAAGACCCAGGAAGGACGCGTCCCGGGAAGGCTGGCTTAATTCGTGAACAGTCAGCCCAACCGATCGAAGCTGCTCGCTAACACGGTTGAAAGTGGTCTGGACAGTGACGCTTTCTTTACCGAGCACCAGATAATTGTCAACGTAGCCGGCGGCAACTGCATCATCAGCGAACCTGGGGTCTTGGGGCGGCACGTAACCCGCCTGATGAATCGAATTACGCATGACAGCCTGACAAAAGTGAAGAGCCCATCCGAATCCCATGGGCATGACAGCGATGCAAGGCAGGAGAGACTGGCCCGGCTCATGGGGCACTCCTGGGAGCCCGAAGGAAGCTAGCATTCCCGAATCAATCGGAGGGAGTGAAAAGAACTCAATCATGTCGTGAGGCACACGCACATGATAGAACGCACACTGCACATCACCTGACGCGGTAAAACAAGGACCGTCCTTGGACTCGATGGCGGAGAAGGCAGAGGCAGAGTGGAGACGGGTAGAGGGCGGAGGCAAGAAAAAAGCAATTAGAGACACGTGTGTCGAATATGAGACGCAGCTGCTCTGATTTCTTTGCGACACAAAACACGCCTAGCAGGCCCTTACGCCCTTGGGCAGGCTGGAACTCCAACATGCCCCTTCTCGCGAGAGAACCCAAAACATCAGCATGCGTGGACGGGCAGTGAGAAAGCAAAGGATCGATGTAGGCCCCCTTCGGACAGGCCTCTTGCACCAACGAGCGGGCCTCCTCAGTTGGCCTCAGCATGTGCGTTTGCCAGTCCTTGAGCCAGAGAGAGTCGGCCGATGGGAGCAGCCTGCGAAGATCCACAGGCACTGTGCCCTCATCAGGCCACGCGACCTTGTCGCGAGAATAGGGACGAGTGGGGCCCGCATCCCCATGCAATGTATTATTGCTCAAGAGCTCGCTGAGGGCTCCCTGAGCAAATCCCGTCTCGCTGGGAGGAGGGCCAAGACGCCGGAAGCAATCCTTAAACCGTTCGAGCACTTTGCTCTGTGACAGAAACGATGGTGCGGCAGACGACTCAGAATATCCAGACATCTGGTTCAGAACACCCACGGCGGCGTTGGCCCACACGGTGGAGTGCTGCAGGCGTTGGCGGCGACGAGTGACCGACCGACATCGTGATGAATCAGTTCTCGGCGGCATGTCAAGCAGCGGGAGCGGGAAGATATCCCTCTGCCGAGCCTCGTCGGAAAAATGGGCGACGAAAGATTCGCTCGGACCAGGGGGCCCATCCACCTGGTCCGGGGCGCCGTGACTAGCCATCCCCGGGCCCTGACTCCTTCAGGCCGCCCTTCTTGGCGCCCTTCTTGGCCAGAGCCCTCTCCTCCCGCGCCTTGCGGCGCTCCTTCGAGATCTGGTACTCCTGCGTGAGCTGCGTCTTGACGAACTCGGCCAGCTGCGGGCTCACGCAGACGCACCCTCGGACCGTGTCCGTGCCCATGTAGAGGTGGTTGTCATTCGAGCCCTCGGCGCCTCCAGCGAGGTGGCCACGATAACGCCCCTCTTGAACTTGAATGACTCTGCAGAGGGACTCCGCACACGCCAAGTTAGTGACCATGAGCTGATCATACATCACCATCTGCTCCAACATTCTGCACGCTCTCTCATGTTCGTCAACTCCGACGTCGGAGGCAGACAACTTGGCCTCGGTGCGGAACCTCATGTGGCGGCCCATGGGCGTCCCTCCGTTCTGCTCGATGAAGCGGAGGACCCACATCACCGTGCGGGGCCCGCGGATGGGCCAGTCTGGCCAAGCGTCCTCCCGCATCAGCATGATGGCATCCCTGAACATCCTGCGGCGATTGCCCTGGACGTCCAGGGCCACGGGGTGGACGCGCACGTCGCTGAGCCCACCAGCAGGCGCGGGGGCCGCGGGGGCCGCGGCAGCCAGGCCCGCTGGGGCCGCAGCCGCCGGCGCCGCGCCGGCGCCGAGGGGGCCCGCCAGGACAAGCCCGGCATCGGCGCCCAGGGCTGGGGCCGCTGCGGGAGGCGGGGCCGCCGCGGCCGCGGGCAAGGCCGCCGCGGGGACCAGGGCGCCTCCTGGGCCCACGCCGGCGGCGGCAGGCGCGGCGGCCGCAGCGACCGGCGCGGCTGGCGCGGCGGCAGCCGGCCCAGGGCCGCCCAGCGCCGCGGCGAGGCCGGCGACACCTGCCCCAGGCAGGCCTCCGTCGGCGGCCTGGGGCGCAGGCGGGCCAGCGGCCATGCCGGCGAAACCAGAGCGCCCGAGCATGTTGATCGCGAGCCCCGGCCGCAGAGGGAGGCCGAGGCGCTGGGCCGCGTCGTCCCGCATCCCCTGGAGTTGCGCTGGCAGCGGCAGGTGCTGGAACCACTGGACGTGGTCCACACCGATCCCATGGGCGTGCTTGCCGAGCGCGCCGCCCTCGAGGATGGCGAACTCGGCGATGTCCCCGCCAGCGGCGAGGCTCTCCTTGTACTGGTCTCGGTCGGGCGTCAGGATACTGACAACTGGGTGCACCCCAGGCGGCAACAATAAAATCACTCGCTCGTGCCAGAGACGAGGACCTCCAATCTGATATCTAACAGCAATCACATCACCCACCTGTAGACCGAGGGCCTCCAAAGGATTCGCCATGGTGTCTATGCGCGGTTACCTGCACGAAAGCGGACAACTTGCTGACGAGCCAGGTCGTCCAGTGAAAGGGTCAAGGCCGTTGCAGGAACTGAGGTTGACGGTATTGGCGTCCGCGCAGCGTCGACCGACGGAGGCACAACATTCTGGATGGATGCTCCCCCAGGCGTCCGACTGACAACGAGGATGCGCCCCAGGACGATGCCGATGAGGATACCGACTAGCGTACAGCAGGTCAGCAATACCCAAGGGAGCTCACCGTCACACGGGTCACAGATAACTTCCTTGACAAGTTCCCCGCCGCCACAAATGATGCTCGGCGAGCAGACGCAGTCGGGGCACTCGGTGGGCCTTGACAGGCCCCAGACCACCGCTGCAGTGTTGAGAGCGCGCGAACACTCTGCAGCCACCAGCTGGGCCAGCCCAGACATGAAAGAGTGGAAGGTGAGTTGACGCTTCCCTTTAGAGCTTGAGCCGCGTGCCAGCGGATTGCACGCGAGGGGGCAAAGGCGGCCTCCGGACGTCACCCCTTACGTGCTAACCGATATCAAATCAGACCATCTATATACACATACATACACATGTGCGTGTACATATTCATGTACAGGCACATTCATGTACAGGCACATGTACCTATACGTTACATATACGTATGCACATTCATCGTCGTGTACAGATGCCCATACATGTACGTATACGCATGCACCTACATATGTATAACCAGATGCATAAACATACACATGTCTACCTACATATGCATGTACATGGTTTACATCTGCATATACACATGTTATGCATACATTCAATTACGTATACATTTACATACGTATACATCTGTATACATATACATACATGTACATATAGACATACACAGGTTCATCAAATATGTCTATATATAAATGCATATAAATATAAGTATATGTATATCGATCCCCTTTTCTATAATTCGAAAATCTGGGACCCTGAGGACCCCCCTCCCCGAAACGGGATCCCCGGCGCCCAGAGCTCCTGGACGACCGCCCCATCAGAGGGTCCCGCGAAATTTCCTGGCCTCTGGAAGTCCCGACCAATTCGTGCAACCAGATCGGCGGCGGTCCCAAGAGACTTCCAAGACGATCCAAGATGGCCTCCAGCGGCCCTGGACCCCCGCCAGACGCCCGAAGACTGTCCAAACACCACCCCCAAGCAGCCTTCGAAACGCCCACGAGGTTGATTTCCCCTTCGTTTTCGCATAACTCAGAGCTGCTCGGTTATTCGGTCCTCCGGGCGTCCGACAATTCCCTGAGAGGCACCGAAAAACGGCCCAAGGCGACCAAACATAATTTCTTGACAGTCCAAGAGAGCCCCAAGACAGCCACCGCATGCAAAGAAGATCGCTGTTTCGATTGATATACCACTCTCCCATGTTTCCTGCATGTTAGACGTGAAAGAGAAAGGTGCGTGGCGCGAAGCGCCAACGCAAATCTATAGAATACCTGTATGCTTTCACATAGTAATTCATTTATGTATATATACATATCACCCCCCGAGGATAATAAAGTTCGGGGTTCTGGCGGGGATAATACAAGATGATTCCGGGGAAGGTAAGTTATGATGATGATGATGATGATGATGATGATGACGATGACGATGATGATGGTGATGCTGATGATGATGATGATGATGGTGATCTTGGGCGCTCGGCACAAGGCTGACTCGAGAGATCTCGACGCCCGTAACTTGGGCAAACAGAACTGGTGAGAACCCCACAGCCCTGCCACACGCTCGGGACTGCGGACGCTGGTGTGGTGAGACCACCATGGCCATGCTCAGCGTTCTTGATCCTGTTGCTGGACAACATGAGATGATAGCAACTTCGATTCGCAACTTCCCCCGTGGATTATACAGTTCGGCCTCCGCGCCTATCTCCACAATCAAATCCTCGGACGCCACGCGCTGCAGCCACAGAGGCTCGGCTGCTGCCGGGGGGGGGGGGGGCGGCGCCGGGGCCTCCCAGCGCTTGCACTGCAGCCGATTTGCCAGCTGCCGCTGGCCGTCGGCGCGGCGGCCGAGGCCGCCATGCCGACGCTCCTTCCCGACCATGAGTTCGGGCCAGAATCTCTCGGCACGGTCGCCCAAGTCCGACGCCCTATCGGGCGTGGAACGCTTGCGAGCGCCCAATCACGTGTTGTGATGGCCAACGCACTGGTCAAGTGCACGATCCGTGACCGCGGTCGCGGGCAAGGCAGAGAGCTGTTTCTAGTTGGCAAGGCTTCCCGCCTGGACTGGGGGATGGGGTGTGCGACGGAGCTCGTGGAAGCGAACGGGGCGGAGGGCGGTCGCAAAAGCAAGCAGCAACAGGACGAGCTGGGGTGGCTGGACAGGCTGCGCCGCTGGGAGGAGATTGGCGAGCCAGGGTTTGTAGAGCAGCGTTCGGCATCGAACTCTCCCTCCGCCTCCGAGGCGACCGCGGCGGCGACGGGCGCGGCCAGCCGCCCCCCGCAGCAGCTGCCAGTTCCCAGCTCGCCCTTGTAGCCAGGTCTCTGGCTCCCCATTCCCGTTCGCGACTCGTGGGCCGCCGAGTGCGGGTACGCGCACCTCCCGAACTACTCCGGATTTCGTAATAAAGGGAGGGGGGTCTCATTTCGGGGGGGGGTCTCTTCCAGGCTATCTTGGAGGGCCTGGGGGGGTCTGGGGACGATGTTTTGGAGGGTTCTCCCACGAGGGGGGGTCTGAAATGGCTCGTCTTGGAGGGTCCAGACCCCCTCCCTTTTATTACGAGATCTGGAGTACCCCTTCTACGAGCGGGTGGATTTCGCCAGCATGGCCCCTTCTGTTGGGGGCACCGTTCGCGGCGCTGCGCCTGGAGGCTGGCCCCATTGGAAGTTCGGGGCTGAACAAAGGGCTGCCCCCCCCCCGCCCTGTCGGCGCCCCATCCCCCCGTATGAAGTCCATGCAGGTCAATCCGCATTGCAGAAGACTTTCGGGGAAGATGGTTGCGTATCGGGAGCGGCCAAGAGGGGGGGTGTCCAAGAGGGGGGTGTGCAAATCATGACCGGCGGCATGTGCGCGGCCCAGCGGGGGGGCCTGGGACGTAATGAAACAAGAAGAGGCGCCATGAAATCTGGGGAAATATCATGGCCCACGCCATGATATCCACCTCCCCCTAGTCGTCACCCCCCTCTTTTCCGCCCCCGAGCGTAAGGGGGCGGAGGCCTGATGAATCGGGTTCCCGGAAAGCCTTCTGGGAACATGGGTTTGGGGGGCGTCTTGGGGAGCCTGTTGGGGCGTGCCGTGGTCGTCGTCGTCGTCGTCGTAATGTCGTCGTCGCTTCTTGGGACGTCGTCGTCGTCGTCGTCGTCCTCGTCTTCGTCGTTTCGTCGTCTTCGTCGTCGTCATCGTCGTCGTCCTCGTCGTCGCTGTCGTCGGCTCAGTAGGGCACTTGGGGCAACTTTGCGCGAAACGATCCACGGAGGGTCGCGAGAAGGCGATCATTCATGTTCACAGTCAACTTACCAGACATCTCTCCGGTAGCGTGATGGTACTTCGGAGCCTCTGTAGACTCCCGGGCCCATGATGAACCATGTCCCCAGAAGGCCTTCTGGGGACATGATATGTTGGGGTGTGTTGGGGGGCCTCGTGAGCGTTCCCTGGGGGCCCCTTGGGAGCCTCTTGGGGTTTCCTGGGGACCCCTTGGGCGCCTCACGGGCCTTCGTGGGAGCCTCTTGGTGGCCTCCGAGGGCATACTGGGGGCCTCTAGGACCAGAGACCTCGAAATACCGGTTCGCGGTCCCCCTCTGGGCCTCCTCTTGGGGCGCTCTTGGGGCACACTTGGGCTGTCTGGGGAGCCTCCTGGGCCGTCTTGGGGCCCTCTTCGGGACCTCGTGGACCGTCTTGGAGCGATCTGGAGGGCCTCTGAGGCCGTGAGGGAGCGCTGGGACGCGGGAAAAGCGAGAACGCCCAAGTCCTTCAAAAAACCCTTCGGAGAATGCATATATTTTGCCTTCCAGGGCCCTTTTAGGGAGCTTCTTGAGTTCGAACTGGAGCGTGTTGGAGTCCTCGCCAGCCGTCTGGAAGGCATTTTGGGCGTCTTCGGGGCCTCTTGGGACCGTCGTGGGCCCCCTTTGGGACACCCTTAGCCTGTCGTGGCCTGTTTCGGGGCGGGCCCGGGAGCTCTCGACACCCCAAAAACCCTCGGGGGGGGCCCATGGTTGGGTACAGGCAGCGGCCCGACTCCCCCTGGCCTGCTCCGATATATCTATATATAATTGTATATTTATATAGATATATGGCCGACTCCGATATCTATTTATATATATATGTGTGTATATACACGTATGTGATACCGGAGAAGACCCCAATCGAAGTCTTTCTAAGGCTATAGGGCTATAGGGCCATAGGGCTATAGGTCTATAGGGCTACAGGGCTATAGGGCTGTAGGGCCATTGGGCTATGAGTCTATAGGGCTACGGGGCTTTAGGGCTATAGGACCCAAGGGCTATAGGGCTATAAGGACATAGGGCTATGGGGTTCTAGGGCTACAGGCATATAGAGCTATAGGGCTATAGGGCTATAGGGCTATGAGGCTACAGGGCTATGGGGCTATAGGGATAGAGGGCTATAGGGCTATAGGGCTTATGGGCTTATGGGCTATAGAGCTATAGGGCTATGGGGCTATAGTGTTGTTGGGCTATAGGGCTATAGGGCGATCGGGCTATGGGACTACAGGGTTATAGGGCAATAGGGCCATAGGGCTATAGAGCTAAAGAGTTATAGGGCTGTAGGGCTATAAGGCTGTAGGGTTATAGGGCTAAAGGGCTATTGGGCTATAGGGCTGGCTATTCGGCTACGGGGCTATAGTGCTATAAGGCTATAGGCCTGTAGGGCTATAATGCACCCAGGCACCCGGGCACCCGGGCACCTGGGTACCCGGGCGGGCCGCGGAAATCGGTGGCAAACCTCACCCAACCACATGAATCCGCTAGGACCCCTACAGAGGGAAGCTCTGATTGGGATATATATATATACATATATATATATATATATGATACCGGAAGAAACCCAATCATAATCTTTGTGGCGCCACCGACCGGAGCGAGTGGGCAGGCAAGCAACGAGTCACAATACCTTCCGCACAAGAGTGTGGCTTCGGCCACACGCACTGCTCAAGGCGAAAAATGGGCGGGCGTGGTCGGCGCCTTGAGCCCAAACGGTAAAGGCGGCCCGACCCACTCATGCTCCGCAAAACGCGTTAGTATAACTGCAATTGCTCAGGCTTCCGTTCGAGGCCAGACGACGATGTGTTTTTACATACAGTGGCGCCACCGACCGGAGCGAGTGGGCAGGCAAGCAACGAGTCACAATACCTTCCGCACAAGAGTGTGGCTTCGGCCACACGCACTGCCAAGACAGCACCGTCAAGCTAGAAAATGCCATACTTGCACGAGTGCCAACTGGCTCCGCCGGGACTTAAGCAACAGACAGGAACCTGTCAAATTTCTGAGCGGTTCGCGCAGCAATTATGTCCCAGAACCGTTTGGCGATGAAACTGCAAAGCGGGGCTGGATATGGTTCGGCAACTTTAATCCAAAACACACCGTCCTGACGCTTGCCGACCAACTGCTGGTGCGGCTCGCCAGTGCGGGCGCACATTCTGCGGCTACCGAGGCACCTGCGAGTGGCGAGCCCAGAGAGATCGACGAGGTACGATACAAACGTGGTGGATTGTTTAAAAGGTCCCGCCCACATGCAGAAATCAGTGTACACACTACTGACATTCTTCCGTTTCGTAAGGGCAACGATTGAATTACACAGCCACAGGCGCGAGGTTCGCGGGTTCTCCAAAGACCAGGGGATCCGACGAAGGATGGCCTCACGACACATGCGGCATGCGAAGCGAGTGAGATTATTGGCAAGCGTCACTTTGTGCTGCAAGGCGGCCGCGAGGTTCGGAAGCCCCCGCGGCCAGGCGTCACTCCTCAGCGGCGGCGGACCGCCTCCACGATCGCGAATGCGGGAGTAGGTCTGGCATGGCAGCGCGACGTGAAACCCGATGATGAGGCCTCCAGCGAGCCAGCCCATCAGCAGATTCTGATTCTTGCCAAGCGTCAGGTCGTAGGCGTCGCCGAACGAGATGTCCTACCAGAGCACCTGCAGCCCTTCATGCGCAGCAACACGCCCCAGCCTGCCTGAGCCAGAGAAGATTTCCACGAAGACGGGGGCCCTCAGGGGCTCGCGCAAGGCTGGCGTCGCCCGGCCGCAACGTCGGCGAGCAAGTCGGCGCAGCGCAGCGCGTGGGCACGGAGCGGGGTGGTCAGGCGCTCGAGCACCTCGCCGAGCCTCGCCCCTTTCTCGTAGCGGCGGAGGCTGCTGTGGGCGCGCCAGCGGCCGCGATGGCGGATCTGATCCAGCGTCCTCGCGCCGGTCGCCGCGTCGTGGCTTGCGCCGCCGTGGCGCAGCTGGTAGCGGCAGACCACGCCCGCGCGCTGAAGCCCCAGCGCCTGCACCGCCCTGTCGAACGCCTGCCCCGCCTGGGTGCTGCTGATCGTGAACAGGCCGCGCAGCCACATCACGATCATGCACATCACCTCGCACGGCGCCCCAAGCCTGGAGCCTGCAGGCGCCAGGCGCTGCCAGCCCTTGAGCGCGCGGCGGCTGCGCGCCATCCGCGCGCCGCCCGCCTTGCTCAGGGCCGACTGGTGGAACAGCGCTGCGGCGAGCATCCGCTGCCCCAAGCTGACGTGCGCGCCGTCGAGGTACATCTCGTCCAGGTACTGGGAGAGGGTCTGGTCGGTGTCCAGCTTGCCCTCGGGCATCGGGCGGCCCTGGCGACTCAGCCAGCGCTTGAACGAGGCAAAGTCGTCTTGGCACAGCCGCAACGTAGCGGGGCGAACCGAGTGAGTCTGGCAGACGGTCAGCCCCTCGGCCGCGGTCGCGGCCGCCCGCCGCCTCGCCGCCTCCTTCACGCGGGCCTGCCCGGCGCGCCGCGCTGGTGCTCGTGCCGGCGCCCGCGGCGCCCGGCGGGGCACAGCCGCTGGCGCGCTGCTGGGAGCGGCCCGCGAAGGAAACGCCGCCGATGAAGACGGGCTCGAAGCGGCTGGCGTCCGCGTCAAACTGCTCCTCCCCGAGGGCCGCGAAGCCGACCCAGTCGGCTGGGAGCCGGTCGACGGCGACGCTCGTAGCAGCATCGCCTCCTGCCGCGGGGCGGGGCCGCGGGGCGGGCGCGGGCTGCCCAGCCGAGCGAAGCCACTCCAGCTCGTGAGGCTTCGAGAAGGACAGCGGCTGCGGCACTGACGGAACTGCAAGCCCTCTCGAGGGCCCGTCAGCCACGTTCCACTCTGAGGGGAGCCACCGGCAGTGCAACACGCACCCAGTGGCCAGACAGAGAGCAGCCACGGACTGGGTGACCTTGAGCATCGCCCTGGAATCAGACCGCCCCTTCGAGACTGCGCAGGCAGCGACGAGGGCGTCCCCCAGGACCGCGATCCGCCGCCCGAAGTTCTGAACATTCCTCAGGGCGTGTCGTAGTGCATACAAGATAGCCCGGCCCTCAAGGATAGGCATCGGCTCCTCAACGTTCCACTTGTACCTCCCGACAATCTTCCAGTCACGTCGTAAGAGCTTCAGGGGCACCTCACGAAACACGGTGTCACGAGAATCGCCGAGCCCGGAACCCAGAACGGCGGCGGCACTGCCAGCAGGCGGCGGCCCCCCATCAACATCCCAGAGACCTCCGGACCCGTTGTCGTGCACTCCGGACAGCCACTGCACCTCGGGGTCGTCGGACACGGCGGCAGCGGCGGCAGCCTGAAGACGCGGAGGAAGACGCGCACCCCGAGAGAAGCGCCACCGCTCGCAATGCCCCCCAAGCCCCCGGGCCTCCTCGACTGAGATCGGCGACGAGCAGACTCCCAGACCGGTCGGGGACGCGTCGACGGCGTACAGCGACGGCCCCCACGAGGCCTTCAGGTTGCGCCACAGCAGCGGCGCGATCCCCTCCCAGATCGTGAGCTCGTTGATGACGCTGGGCCACAGCGGGGCCTCCTCGTAGTAGAAGCGGCGGATGAACGCGAACAGCGTGTCGAAGACCGAGAGGCTTTCCCGTCGGACCAGGCTGATGAACCCCATGTGCCCCGCAAGCCTCTCGAGGACCTTCCCAGAGACGCGGCCACGACGAAGCAAGGCACGGACACACAAGCGGGCCCTCCAGACACGGGCCCAGGTAGGCCTCAGGACAGCGGCACGACAGCTGATATCCCATCCCAAGACGGTGCGGTCCCGAGCGAGATCCTCTCCGGGCGAGTCGACATCGGCGGTCACGACCAACCCCGCCTCCCTGAACCCCTCCACGACGGCGGACGCGAGGCGATGCACCTTGGAGGTGACAGTCGAAATGGCCACGAAGTTGTCGACATACTCGAGATGGCAGGCCCCCGCAAGAGAGGGAATGACACGACGATCCTGTAACCTCTCTTCGGGTTGTCCTCCACGCCGCTCGACCAATCTCTCATGCACACGTTGACACCACCACAATGCCCAAGTCCACCCCATGGGGCACACGCGCAGTCTTGGGTATACCCACGCCCCGTCGCGCACTGGTTGCCCGCCAATCTCAGTCAAGCCGATATCACGGGCACGGACGCGCCTAAGGGTGAACAGATCCCGCAACTCGACAGGCAGCTGCAAATGGTAGAATGCATTGGACAGGTCAGCTTCCGAAATATAGAGCGTCTCGCCTTCACCGACTTCGAGGTTCCCAAGAGTTTCACCAGTGCAAAGAGTGACGTTATCAGGCTCGCGAAACCAGACGTTGCTGTGACGGCAGTCGCAAACGAGTCTCAATCGCTGATCCTTTTTCGGAACGCAGAAGAACTCCACGGACTCTCTGCCGCGGTCGTAGGCAAAATCTAGCAGGCCGCTGCGACGAAGCCGCGAGACAAAGTCGCTCCACACACGCGGTTGGCGAAGAGCTGGGTCGGAATAGGGCGCCCTCACGCCGCACATCTTCCTCCTCTCCAGCGCCGGACCCGCAGGTAGCACACTATCGCGGACGAACTCCGCGACGCGCCTGCACCCGCCTGCACCCCGCAAGTCCGCGAGCGGAACCGCATGGCTCCCCACGGACGGCAGCGAGAGCAGATCGGGATTGTAGTTCCCCAGCTTCACGTCCTCGTCGGGGCCGTAGAAGCCAGGCGCTCGAAGCCTCCGCAGAGCTTCCGAGGTGTCGACGCCTGCCGGTGGAGCCCCCAGCGCTCCAACTGAGTCGCGCACGTGCTCCATGATGCGTTGCTGCACCAGCGACAGAGGACCACCACTGAGTTGACCCGCTCCGCCCGACACAACGTCAGGAGAGTGACGCAGTGAATTCAGGGCGACAACCGCCCTCCGAACGTCGAGATCACGAGCGTGACGCTGCTGAACCCGCTGACGGCAACCTCGCGACAAAAATCCACCACTGTCAGCACATACAGATGAGACTGGCGGTACTGGCAGAGGAAGAGGATTGCGAGCAACCAGACGCGCGGGCTCATCACGACCAAGGGAAGAGCGCTCGAATTGACCATGCGAAGGCGCCCCCCGGTCGCCTGGCAACCGGGGGGCACGAAGGGGGCGCTCCATGCCCCCTCAACCTTGTCCGTCCTTCTTGCCCTTCTTGAGAGCCTCCTTCTCTTCACGAGCCTTACGGAGGTTCTTTGCCAGGGCAGCTTCACGCTCTACTACTTTGCGTACAAACTCCAACAAGTCGGGGCACACCATCAAGCTAGAAGAGATCCGAGTCGAGCCCGCGAAGTGCGTCTGCTCCTCGATCGACAACTTCCCGCTCTGATTGGCGCCTTCACGCTCCCTCACCTTCTCCAGGTACGAATACTCGATAGTCTGCATGCGGCGGAAGATGGCCTCGCAAGCCTGCAAATTCGTGCCGTCGCACTGGTCTGAGAGCAACAGCAGGCGGATGTACTGCGTGCGCTGGAAGTGCTCCTGCACGCCCCACTGCGTCGGCTCGAGCTTCGCCACCGCCCGAAACCTATCGTGATGGCCGTCGATGCCCATCCCCTCATTGTTGATGAACTCGATGCACCAGAACGTCGTCCGCGGGCCCGTCACCAGCCAGCCAGTCGCGCCCGAAGTCCTCCTCACGAACGCGCGCAGCCATGACCCCACGTCACCTCGCGGCGAGCTCCCGTACGCATCACGGGCATCACGCGAGCGTCTGCTGCCACAGCGCGCCCCATGAAGACCTCCAACTCCGCCGCCGGCACCTCCTCGACGAACAGGGCAGTCCCGTCGGCGAGGATGTGGAGGTCGCGCCCGCGCACCGCAGCTGCCGTCGCCACGTGCCCTGGCACCTCGTCCCCGTACCGCACGTCCCCGAGAGACTGAGCCGCCCGCCAGCGCGTGCCAGCGTCCGCCGCAGCCGCCTGAGGCGCCACGCCCTGCAGCACCCCCGGGCGAGGCCCAGCAGCCGCCGCAGGCCCAGCCGCCGCGCCTCCCGCAGCGGCGGGCGCGCCGCCTGGCCCGCCTGGCACCAGCGCGCGGAAGCCTGGCGCCGTGAGCAGGTCGGGGCGACCAATCGTGGCGGCCACGATGCGGCAGCGATGATCGGCCAGTCGCTCAGCATCACGAAGGAAGACGTGCTTCTCGGCCGCTGTCGGCTCCTGCCGAAAGCGGTACACCCCCGCAGGATTCACGCCGTTGGGGACGTCGTTCCAACCTGCGCTCCACCGAACCAGATCCACATCTTCATTATCATTATCGTCATACTTTTCAATGTACGTGTCGCCGTCCGGCGTGGTACCGACATACTCAGAAGCCGATAGCGCCACGCGGCCGGAAACCCACCTTTGGTGAACCAGGTCGTCCCCGACGTACCTCAGCCACCCCCACTCCATGGCCCACGACCTTCACGAACAGCAGCGTCAGCAGCACGCCGCCGACGGCGCCGCCTAGCAGCCCACGCAAGAAGGCCCGCCAGGCGTCGCACGGCTCAGGCTCCGCCGGCTGCTCGCAAGCAGCGCAGGCAGGGCAGGAGCGCGGCGCCTCCGCGCGCCCCTCACGAGCGGCGCGCGGCGCCTCGGCCGCCACCGCGGGGCAGACCAGCGCGGGGCACGCTGGGCAGCTGACTGTGGCCGGCGGAGGGCACGTGAAAGAAGGACAGGCAGGACAGGTCAAGGAGCAGCTGGGGCACTCCGGCGCAGCGGGGCACCGGTGGAGGTACGCGATGGTCGCGTCGACCGCCCCTCCCAGCACCAGCGGCAACATCCACGTCGCGGGCGGACCGCTCCCTCCGTTACGCCTTGAGCCCAAACGGTAAAGGCGGCCCGACCCACTCATGCTCCGCAAAACGCGTTAGTATAACTGCAATTGTAAGGCTGTACGGGTATAGGTCCACAGGGCTATATGGGCTCTTGGGCGCTATATGGGCAATTGGGCCATATGGCTATATAGGCTGTAGGGCTATTGGGCTATAGGGCACCCCTGGGCACCCAGGCACCCCTGGGCACCCGGGCGTGCGGCGAAAATCGGCGGCAAACCTAACCTAACACTATGATGCCGGAGAAAAGCCCCAATCAGATTTTTTTAATCTTCCAATTGCTCCCTTTCTAATCGGGCTATAGAGCGGGCTATAGGGCTATATGGTTATAGGGCTATGGGGCTATCGGGCTATAGGGCTATAGGGCTATCGGGCTATAGGGCTATATAGGGCTATCGGGCTATAGGGCTATGGGACTGTGACCTATAGGGCCATAGGGCTATAAGGCTATGGGGCTATAAAGCTATATGGGCTATGGGGCCATAGGGCTATATGGGCTATAAGGCTATTAGGGCTATAAGGATATAAGACTATAGGGCTACAGGGCGGGCTATACGGCTATAGGGCTACAGGGCTACAGGGCTATAGGGCTACTGGGCTATTGAGCTATTGGGCACCCCCGGGCACCTGGGCACCCCCGGGCACCCGGGCACCCGGGCACCCGGGCACCCGGGCCCGGCCACCGAAATCGGCCACGCACCTCACCGGCCATCCGGGCACCTGGGCACCGCCGGGCACCCAGGCACCCGGGCCCGGCCACCGAAATTGGCGACGCACCTCACCTAACCCTTGAATCCGCTAGGACCCCTACAGAGGCAAGCTCTGATTGGGGACTAAGTCCGCTAGGACCCCTACAGAGGCAAGCTCTGATTGGGGAATATACACTCACACACACACACACACTCTGACCGTCGCCGTACTAATCCAGGGGGCCCGAGAGGCTTGCAGGGTGCTTTTCGGCAGCAAGCGTGTCCCCTCTTGGGGGCCGTGTTGGCCTCTCTTGGGGTTGTTTTTGGGCCTCTCGGGGAGGTGGGGCCTGTTGGCCTCCTGGGCCATCTTGGGGCCCTCTTGGGCCGCCGTGGGGGCCTCTTGAGTGCCTCTGGGCCTGGAGGCACCCTGGACGCGCTTGCAGACGGCTCCCTGTGCTTTCTGGGGCTCCTGAAGCTCCTCTGCTGGGCCTAGGCCACTGGCCCAAATCGGTCAGGAGGGCGGCCGAACGGCCCCGCGAGAGCCCGCAGAGGCCCCAGACAGCAACTAGACACCCGAAGATAAACCAAAGAAAAAGCACAAGAGGCACTCGAAACGCAAAAAGCATTGATCTCCGGTGGATTTTGCGTGATTTGGGGAATGCTCTGTTCTTCGGTGCAGTCTGAGACCGCCCAGGAGACCAGAGAGTCGCCCCAAATCTTACCAAGAGGGCTTCCAGGCAGGCCAAGAGGGCCCCAAGATGGCCCAACAAGACCCTGAGATGGCCCGAAAAAGCCCCTCGACGGCCCAAGATGGTCCCAAGACGCCCTCCGGGTCGTGACCCGGGTCGTTCAGGGAGGCCGCGGTTGGAAGCAGGATGGCCCGGGGAAGCTCCCAGAGGCCCCCAGACGGAACCCAGGAGACCTCCAGAAGGCCCCAACAAGCCCTGTAAACTCTCGTGACGCCTCCAGGAGGCTCTCCCAGGATGAGCATCCGCGAAAAGAGCTGAGGATAGGGACGATTTCACGGGGTAAGGCGAGAATGAGGAAAAGGACAAGGAATTGTAAAGGAAAGACGGCGAATACCATGATTACAACGGCGATGCCAGAAACCCAACAACGAATGAGTGCTAAACGTTGCATTTTACCCGATTGCCCCCTGCCTGCAAGCCAAACCTCAAAGACCAAAGTGCATGGCTCGTAGCACCAATGCAGTCTTGTATTCATAGGTGTAATACACATGTACATATATATATATATATATATATATATAAATATGTATATAAAAAGTGTGTGTGTTGTCTGTGTGCATGCACGTACGCATGCACGCGTGTATGTAAGTATGCAGAGATGCATGTATGGATGCATGTATGTATGTACGTACCTAGATACGTATCTATGTATGTACGTGCACGTTTATGTGCGTATTCTGGTATATGTACACATGTGTACATATAAATGTATCACCTTTCATCCCTCCTCGACCGACGCTTGTCGCATGCACGAACGCCCTCTGCGGCTCGCCCTCGTCCTTCCTTTCTTTCGCGGTTGCATCACCCATCACACCTCCAGCGAAAAACATGTCCGCCCTCGCCCTAAATCTCACCATCACCTTCACCTTCACCCCTTAAACCTAATACCAACATCAACTTCAACTTGAACATGCTCCTCCTCGTCCTCCTGCGCTTCATCCCTCGACTCCGCAACTTCGACTACGCCTCGGGTCTTTCCGCGAATAGTCGGCCAATCATGGACTGCCTGCCTCCACCCGCACCGAGCCGGAGCCTGGTCCGTCTCGCAGCCCAGCCTCGCAGCGGCGCTAGGAGATCGGACAGAAGAGCGCCCGCGCTCTCGCAAGCGCGCGGGCATGCACGCACGCTGAAGGCCAGCCACGGTCGTGGCAGGGTTGGGCTCTGGAGCGGACTGCAAAGAATCCCGTGAATCCCACCAGCCCTCTGGGCGCAGGTAGTCTAGAGCGTTTCCGTTTCCAACCTCCTGCCTTTCCCTGTTTGGGAGGTTTACCTCTCCCCCCCCTCCCTGCGTCTGGACGGGCTCCCCCGCGAGGTGTCAGAGGGCCCTTATCGGCCCAAGATGGCTCCAAGAGGGCTTCAGAGAGTGCGAGATGGCCTCCAAGATGGCCCGAGATAGCGGTAGATGGCTCAAGATAGCCTCCGACACGCATCCAAGAGGCCTCAAAACGGCCCCAAGACGGTTCCAAGTGCCCTCCGAACCCTCCGAAGACTCCCCCAAGAAGCCCAAATCCGTCAAAAACTTAAAGGGGCCAAAATCCGTCAAAAACGTAAGGTGAAATCAATGTTTTTTGTCTTCTCGCTTGTTCGCCTCCGATGGGCTCTTGAGGCCTCAAGATGGCCCCAAGACAGCCCAAGATAGCCCCAAGAGGGGTCCAAGAGGGCCCCAAGACGGCCCCAAGCGCGCCCAAGAGCGCTCCAAGAGCGGCCCAAGAGGGCCCCAAGACGGCATGTTTGAATCTCCAAAGGGGAGGGGGGGGGGCAGGACTTAAGGACCCCCGTCTTTTTGAGCGAAAGCGTCCAGGACAATCCCAAGTGGCCCCTCAGGCATCCCAGAAGAGCCCCAAGGAGGCCCCCTAACCCCCCAAAAGAGCCCCAAGAGGGCCCCAGACGCCCCAAGAGAGCCCCAAGAAGCCCCAAGAAGGCCATAAAAGGACCTCAGGAGAGCCCAAAGAAAGAGCTCCAGGAGGCCTCAAGAGGGGCCCAAGAGAACCCCAAGAGGGACCCAAGATGCCTTCCAAGTTTCGGAACGCACGCGAGCTTAAGATACGAATCAGTGCAACAGCCATTACGAGTCATCGAAACACCCCTCACCCCTCATCGAAGCACCATCGTAGCTTGCACCGATTTCCATATTAAACCAATGCGGAAAGCTCTGTGTTATCCTGGTTTTCCCGAACACGGCTGCGCAACTGCACGCGTCCTGCCGCCCCTGATTCACCGACTCCCCTGCTGATCGTTTCTGGATGGGCTGGTGGGGATACTTTTTTTGGTCGCGGCCACCAGCGAACGCGCAAAAGGCGAGAGAAGTTGTCCGGGCCGATACGAACAAACCTAATTAGCTACAAGACGCGCCGCAGGCCGGCCGGCCCACTCACCAAGCAGCAGCGGGGCTGCGCGGGAGGCTGACAGCTGGGGGCATCCAGGGAAGCTCAGGCACGTGCATTCTGACAAAATTCAGATAAATTCGGTGCGTGCCGTGGGGCATAACCCACACAGACGACGCGGGGACGTGCACGAAGGTGTCGACGTGTCCATCATGCTGGGTGGGCGTTCAGGCGAGAAGAACGATGGGCGAGTCGCCAGAGGGGCGCCAGGCCCAGGGCCGTCCCAACGGCGTGTGCGGGCTAGGGGAGCTGAGCTGCCGCGGGACGTTGCAAACCTGCCTGAAGAGGGGGATGAGTCCAGGGTGCTGTTGCGACTGCAGAAGGCTTGGCTTCGCCAAGGGCTATGAAGGGGCGCGTGATTATTTTTCCGTTTCAAATTTCATGTTAGTGGTCTCGTGCCGAACAACGACAGATCTTATTGAACTGATCTGCTCAGCAAAAAAACAAACGCGCGCAAAATCCACTGCGGATGCCCTCAGAGGAAAACGAACAATGGAATGCTGCATAAGCGGCGCCCGCGTTCCGCCCGCAGTCCAACTGCAGGCAAAACCACAAATGATCAGCCCAGCGGGAAGTTCACGAGCATTGCGGCGGGGGCGGTCATACATCGAGCGAGGGCAGCGGGATTATAGCCGTCTGATGGAGCTCAGCCAAGGGCTACAAACGTACAACCGCAAACTGGAGGCAAAGAAACAAGAGCAGCGCGAAAGAAGGCCACTGCGAAACCAGACAGATGTCTCCAGGAAGGCGAATGCCTGCCAACGCGCCGCTTGCAATTGCAAATCAAACTGGCCCGCGGTAAACCCCAGCGGCAACGCCCAGACGCCAACAATGCCACCTCGACGCCCGGTGAAGTCATTGACGCGCTGCTCAAACCCTCGCGAGCCAATCCATGAACAACCACAAGGCGAGTCGCCCTGATCAAGGCCGGGTAATCGGGCAAGCGGCGAAAATAGCGAACCGCATCCGCATTCGCGGATGATGAGGTGCAGGAAGCGGAGCAAAGGAGAGGAGGGCGGAACATGAAAATCATAATGAACACGGTGAAGAGAGGGAATATGGTGATAGGAAAGACTGGAAACGTGCAAGAGCATGAGCAGGTAGGAACACGGAAGAGGAGCTCGGG